TCTCCTTCTCCTCCTCCTTTTCCTTCTTCTTTTCTTTTTCTTTTTCCTTTTCCTTTTCCTTTTCCTTTTCCTTTTCCTTTTCCTTTTCCTTTTCCTTTTCCTTTTCCTTTTCCTTTTCCTTTTCCTTTTCCTTTTCCTTTTTTTTCTTTTTCTTTTCCTTTTCCTTTTCCTTTTCCTTTTCCTTTTCCTTTTCCTTTTCCTTTTTCTTTTTCTTTTCTTCTTCTTTTTCTTCTTCTTTACAAAGACATCATGCTAAGAAACACACCGTGACAAATATTGCGTATCTGTTTTTGAATCTCCATAACTGCAAAGGCTTGTTTTTTTTTTACCACAGATTAAAGACTCATGATAGGGAGGCTAACGATGGTTATCTGTAATCCCACTGAAGCCTTCATGAGTTCCCTCGCCTTAGTACCCGATTTAGCACTGCCTGCTTTTGGCAGCTCAACAGAGAAGGTCCGTGCATACCGTGATCTTTGTGAAAACTGGCACAGGAACTACCATCATCGTGCTCTTAGGAAATTACATTCGGTCAAATAAAAAGTAAAGTTGTGTTATCGATGCATGATAAAAATTGCTCTGGAACATATCCAAAATTCATCTGGCTGTGTAGGCATTGCTTGTGTATCGACTTGTTAGTTCCGTGAGACACATTTATATATAGAAATGTCTAACTTTGCTTTGCTGCCCCGAACATAATGGTACCAGACGTGCATTCACCGGGAAGTAACACGTTTCAGGTTTGGATGTTGAATCACCGACAAAAGATGTCACATTTAAAACTCCGATCTTAATTATAAGTAAATCACGTTTATACATTTACAATTTCACTTTCACAAACCCGCACACCAAATCGCGCAAAATGCACAAACACACAAAACGCGCGCGCGCACGCACGCACACACACACACTCACACACACACACACACACACACACACACACACACACACACACACACACACACACACACACACATACACACACACACACACACACACACACACACACACACACACACACACACACACACACACACACACACACACACACACACACACACACACACACACGGTACAGTATTACCCCCTGATCCAGGATTGCCTCTCTTTTTTCGCATCTTTCCCATCTGTTCGAAGTATATAGAGCAAGGTCGCAATGCAAATGAAACTAGGTCGCAAATATTATGTGTTTGTTTTGTGTTCAGTATATTTTAAAACCCTATATACAAGGCTACGTTAATTTCTTGTCATTTTTAGTATTTTCTCGTAGATGACGGCCATCGTTTTTATTTATCTAATATGTGTAGCTGTACAGTAACAAACACTGCACCAAAGCACACAAAGAAAATTTTCGACACTAAAGCCGGCAAACTAATCTAGCAATGTCATCCCTCCACACGTTCTGCCTGGCCCTAATGCAGCTCAGAAACTGTAAGGATTACTCAGGAGAAACGATATATCAAGTTTCATCAGCTACTCCCTCTATCTCGCTAACGTGAACAACGACCGGAAATATGGAATATCAAGAGTAAGATATTTCACCACTGAAGGACATCTTTACCCATAATGTTATAGGTGATAAGTTATTCCCATTACGTATGGACCTTCACTGAGTAATACGCCATTTGTAATCTTAGGTGGTCAGCAGTTTGGTCTGTAGACGATTTGTGGACATAGAATAAAGAAAAGTATCTTTTAACATAAAGCTACTACTAGCTATTAAAGATAGTGATAAATTTTTATTAGTAATGACAGTGATCAATTACATTTAATACATATTTTAAATTTTCAGTTTTTAGGTGGGGGCCTCTTATAATTCTAAAAATGTAGAAAGGGGCAATGGGCAAGAAAAGAAAGAATACCTCTCTTAGAAGAGATTATAGTATACACTTTGCAGATAATACACTAGACAAGTTTCTGTAGTAGACATAAACATAAGTCAAGGGCTTTGCAATTCCATCTTGACTTTGAACGGGTATCCATGTGCTCAAATAGTTATGCCGTAAGTTTGCTTTTTAGTATCTTTGCTGATATTCCTGTTGAAGAATTTTGCAGTTAAGCAATGCCAAGAGTAACAAATTTCATAAAAATAAATGTGATTCCTCTAATGTTTATTTCCCAGTTGACAAGCCACTTCATCAATAGCTTAAAAGAATTTCCATTGCTCATTAATGCCATTTATTGAAATATTGTAAGTAAAAATGATCATGTAAGTAATGGAAAGAGTGAATGATGCAATAAATAGCCTATATCCCAAAGTAAAAAATCAGCAAGTTTGAGTTCCAAGTGGCACCTGCATTTGGTTTCCCACGCCTGATCTCTTCACAACTGCCTTTGGATACTGTACATTATGTTGAACATTTCTTCTTCCTCCTCTCTCCCCCATTTTTATCTTTCTCATAATTCCTCCTGCTTTCCTTTTCAGTCTATGAGTATAAATAAAAAAATATTTTTACTCCATTAAGTATTACATAATGATTATTCCTTAGAAGCTTGGCCATAAAAATATTTGGAATTACATTCATACACCTTTTAATGATTCCTTGTTTACTTTTCAGAATATAAGTTGAGCAAGTTTACCAAGTTTACATTTATCTGATGTTTTGCTTCATCTTAATACTTCTGTTGAATCTCTAACCCTGTTCATAGATTTTCTTACAATCCTTGCATGCTGTGTTCACCAGTCTACCAAAGAATCTAGGCTTCTTAACTCTATAGGAAGTCTTAGTGCATGTGTGTCAATGTTTTTCAAAGTATTTTACAATCAGTAGTGAGATTGAGATAGGATAGGAGTAGAGAGGACGAAAAAGCAGAGAGCAGGGAGAGAAAAGGACAGGAGAAAAAAAGAAAAATATACATTAGAAATGAGGGTAAAAAACATGATTCACTCTCCCAAGTTGTTACATTGAGATGGGATGGGAATAGAGGCAATGGAACAAGAAAAGAGTAGAGGACAAAAACAAAGAGGAAAAAGAAAATATGAAAAATTAAGAAATGAGGGCTAAGAGAGAAAAAACATAGGAAAACAATAGAGACAAAAAATCATTGATTCCCTGTATCATATTTCAATCATTTTAACATTATGAAAAAGAAGCAAGAAATTATAAACGCAATAACATTTTTCCACCATGTACACAATAAAAGGACTCATATTCTTATTCTCATTTATTTCAAAATCCAAATTACAAATTCATATAAATAGCATGAAAATTAGTTCAATTAATGAAAATCATAAGTAATGCTCGCATGTTCCTAATCCAAAACTAACCATAACAAGATTCCCTTGACACAGAAAAGAGTATTAAGTTATTACATTTGTAGCCAATTACGTACACAGTTTCTGTAGCAGTGTTTATCATTCCAAAGACAGCACTTTTGTTTACCAACCTCAAACTTTCTAGATTGTTCTTCTTCCTCTTCAGCATTGATATGAATATAATATGAAACAAATAAAAAAATGGAAATAATTCAACATTACTAGATTATATAGGGAACTTGCATGCAAACACTTGTAACTTCACAGGAATGCATACCATTCATAAGTACACTATATGTTTGTTTGCTTTTTTTAATAGTAATGTAATGGTTACATTGGTTTAAATAAATACTACAAGGTATCCATGACTAATATAATAAAATAATGATTCTTTTACATCACCATAAATAAACAGTTATTTACGTTTTACATATTACACTCTTCGTTTTTATCAAATATTTTACAAAATTCAGTGATTACTTTCCCTCGAAAGGCAAAATGAATAAATATATGAACAAAAAGTAATGACGGGAAGTTATAAACATTACTGGTTTGTACTAAATTACATGATCTCTGAGTTCTACCAACAGTTGTATTATGCACACAAAAATATATTTTATCCAACATTGATTTCTCTTTTAGACAAAAAAAACATTACTGCCACATAATGTAATAACCAACTAGAAAACACCATTTCCTACAATAAAATGTCAGGAAAGTATAGATGGAATGAATGTATTGGACCCAAAGTACTCCCTACATCATCAATAGCAACCTACTTGCAAGTCAGTGTAGTATTTATTTTAAACTAAAGAAATGTGCATTCTTTGTCTTATTTCTGATGAGAAAGAAAACTACTCATAAACATAAAATGTCATAGCATTTTCATTACCCTTAACTAAGACAAAAAGATTAAACTAACCGTTTTTTTTTCATTTGAAACATGGTAATATCCAGTCAACAATCTTAGTCTATGATATTTTTATACTGCCTTCAGGAAACATTATGGGTAACATAGGTGTTATAATCCCCTGAAATTTATCCCACTGATATTTGGTAGCATTGACTAATTTCATCTGTTGCAAATAAAAAAATGATACTGACTATAGAGAAAATCAAAATAATTTACATTGCCTCATACCTGATTTTGAGATTTACTTTCAAGCAAATTTATTGATAAATGAGTTGCAAATGCATGATTAAAAAACACAAACAAAACCTCTGCATTTACAATAAAGATCAAGTGCTCCATTCAAGGACCTTATTTCACATACCCATAGTATAAGTAGCACCTTCTAACGTCAAAAAAAATTAAATAGACCATTTCCATGTTTACTTAGATGCAACTATTAAGTTAATAGTAGCTTGAACAAGACATGACCGTGGTTGTAATCCTTACAGCCTAACATCTCTAAGGCCCATCTACACAAAAGGCAGTGCCAGCAAGGTCCAAATGCTTATGACATCATCTCTGACTTGGTTTATGATTTGGTAACTGCATAGACAAGACCTAATATGTATTGCAAAGTAATTCCCTTAAACAGCTCTCTTGGAACATATTTTTATAGCTGTCTGATAGCATAAAAGCCAATTAGTTAACTATTCATCCCTATGTCTGCAAAATTTACTCCAGCTGGGATTTCTAGAGGAACATAAATTTTATATATATATAAAAAAAAAAGATTTTTGGTGTGGAATCACAAAATACATTTAGACAATTATCACATTTACTAAGGCTCCATTT